AGAAAGACTCCCGTGCAGTACATTCCGCGCTCCAATGCAGAGGAGACTACATCTACCACACGATGGCATTGCTGAATAGTGGAGTGGGATGTGCGGAATCCAAATTGGTGATCTGGGATAATGTGTTTAGAGTCTAGGATGGGATACAGGCGTTTTAAAATGAGTTTTTCCAGGATTTTGCCCATAATGGGTAAAAGGGAGATAGGACGGTAAGAGGATGGGTGTTCTGGCGGCTTTGTGGGTTTAGGTATCATTTTGACAATGGATAGTTTCCAAGAGTCAGGAAAATATGTGGTGCGGAGTACAGCATTAAATATATAGGTTAGGAACAGTATGGCTTTTTTAGGAAGACATTTTAGGATCTGGGAGGTGATTAGGTCATGGCCAGGAGCTTTGCGAGAAGGTAATCTATTAATGATATTGGATATTTCTGAAGGATGAAATGCTTTAGGTGGAGGAGTCAATTGGAGTGGGGTATCCAATTCTGCTTCAATAAACTCAAGGTGGGTTGGATTAAGGATGTCTGGGTGTGGATTAAATGTTTTTGAGAGGTGTTGAGCAAATATTTGAGATTTTTCATCATCAGATCTGGACCAGGTTTGGGTTTCAGTAATAAGTGGGTGGTTAAAATCTTTGAATTTAAGGAGTTTTTTAGTAGTCAACCATAGTGATTTGTCACAAGTAGTAAGTTTTTCTGTCATGTTATGTAAATTTTGAACTTTGTATTTTCTAATTTCAGCTTTTAGTTGGTTAGTTAATTTGTTGTAATATGTCTTATCTGATGGATATCTAGTCCTGTGCCACTTCGATCTTGCTCTGCGTTTTTCCCTTAATAAGATACGAATATGCTGCGGCAAATTTGTCTGTTGGGAGTTGTCAGTTTTATTGGTAGATGTATTATTCTTTATTTTGTCACTTATAGATGTAGTAAGTTCTTTTATGGCTGTGTCAATATCACGTTTCGTCTTAAGTGGAATATTTAGGTCCAATTTATTTTCCAGGTCTTTACGAAAATTGTCCCAGTTTACTCGTCCTGTAATCAGTGTAGGAGAGGACGAGGGCTTAGGAGCGAAGGTTGTGTGTAATGAAAGCAGAACTGGAGAATGATCTGAGGAGAGGTCATCCAGGGATTTTATTGTGACATGGGAAGAGGAAATTTGGGAGGTGACAAATATGTCGAGGATATCAGGGCGTTTTTTGAGGGATGTTGGCCAATAGGTAGGATTCATAGGAGAGAGGACAGAGTAACTATTGGAAGTTGAGACAGAAGATAGTATGTTACCACGGGAGTTGGATGATCGACAACCCCATCGTTGGTGTTTAGCATTGTAGTCTCCTCCAGCAATAAAGCGCGATCCGAAGGATTGAAATAAGGATTCAAGTAAGTTATAGGTAAGAGTATGACCGGGAGGACAGTATACAGCTGAGAATGTTAAATGGAAAGGACGAGTTGAAATGATAACCGAGGTTGCTTGAATAGCCTCCGTTGGAGTAGAAGGAATGAGAGAATGGGATAAGGATTTATGGATAAGGATGCAAGAACCGGCATGGGAAGTGTTGTCGGGGTGGTCTGATCTATAAGTGATATAGTCACGTATGTAGAAATATGAACGTCGAGTGAAGTGAGTTTCTGTCAGTAGAGCAATATCAATGTGATAGTCATGAAGAAAAATGTCGAGTTCGTCTCGGTGGTTTTGTAGTCCGTTAGCATTCCATAAAAGAACAGCTAGGGGCTTAGTGCTCATCGTGAGAGATTGAAGGGAATTTCGGTAAGGATTCTTGTGAGGAGGGTAATTAGTGGCTTGATAGTCTCTTGGAGATCTTTCAGGAAGGAAGCAAGGGTGGAGTTTATTAAATCGATCGGGTTTTGTTGGTCAGGTTGGTTTTGATTAGGAGTTCGTGAGGGAAAGATCTTATGATAAGGAGTGTCTGATGAAGGATGTACCCTTGGAACTTGGGAAGGAGAGTAAATATGAGCAGTAGGGTGGGAATAAACAGGAGTTGGATGTTCGGGCGGTAATTTTACACGTATAGGTATCTGGTGAGGAGGCATTTGCTGACGTGGAGATTTTGAATGAATGTGGGAGATTTGAGTCTTGGATTGGGAGGTCTGGATCTTAGGTTTGGAAGCCTGAGTCTTAGTTTTGGAAATCTGAGGCGTCTGACGTCGCGGCTGTTGATTCTTCACCGTAGTGTCTGAATATAGGTGCCTAGAGTCTTGATGGGGATGATCTGTTGATGTAGAAGGGTTGTGCGTCAATTGTGGTATTATTTCGTTCGGCAGTTGAGGAAACGCTGCCAAATTTAGGAGTTCAGGTGCCTGTACCTGTGCCTGGGTAGAATTCTTCTGTTCTTCTTTTAATGATAAATTATAAGTTCTTTGCTTATATAGCTTCTTATAGATAATGCAGCCCCGATAGGTTGCAGGGTGGTCCTCACCACAAAGGGCACATTTTGGTGGTTCATTTAACGGTTTCGGGCAGGTGTTAGAGGCGTGAGGCCCGGCGCATTTAACGCAACGCACCGAGTGATGGCAGTAAGCCTTTGTATGCCCTAAGTTTTGGCACTTGGTGCATTGAACGACTATTGGTTTCTGCCTCGGCTCTTCAAATTTTACAACAGAATACAGCAGTCTTTTAACTTCGAAGATTTCTGCATTATTCCGGGCTGGTTCTAGATCGATGAAAAATAATGGCAGTGGATATTTATCAATAGGATGTAAGATAGAAGATATATGTCTTACCGAATGGCCGATATCTTCCAGATCTTTTTTTATAGCGGTAGTGGGTGTGGTAGAGTGAAGACCTCTCAAAACCACTCTATATGTTTTGTCTTCTTTTAGTTGATAGCAGTGGAAGTCGTGATTGAGTGCTGTCAAATGATTTATAAGTTTTTTATAATCATCTTTAGTATTGGTGTTAATCTTTATATCGTTGACTCGAGAAAAACACCGGAAGTTGGTCGGTCCGATCAGATTAGCTATTTCTTGACCGAACTGAATGAAATTGTCAATCTTGCTTACATAAATCGGAGGTGGCACTGGTTCAGTGAAAGTTCTAGGTTCAGTGATTTCGTTAATTTTATTATTGGCTGTAACAGAATTGTTACTGGATGTGTTAGTTGATGGTTTAGTGTCAGGTTTCATAGCTGAATTATTACTAGTTTTTGATTCTTTATTTACTTTGAGAGCTTGCTTTGTTTTAGCGGATTTGTTTTTTTTTTTATTAGGTGAGTTGCCCGCCGAACCGGGGGCAGAGTTTCTATGGCGCTTTTGGAGAGTTCGCCTTGTTAAATATTGAGAATCAGTCTCACTGATTTCGGAGAAAGGAGTCTCTTCATCTGATTCGTCAAAAGAAATGTTCTTATCAGAATCCATACCTCTAAATAATAATATATACAAAAAGAAGAGAGAAAAAAAAAAAAGTATCACTAATAAGAAAATTTACAAAACAAATACTTAATAACTAATCTATTTACAAATATATATACAAATATTAAAAAAAACATTTTTATAAATAAATAAAATAGAGTCTCAGTAGAAAAAAAATATTAAAATAAAATAATCAATTAAGAAATAAAAACAGAGAAAAAAAAAATATATATACTGTCTTAGGTACGAACTCAAGATATTCTGAACGTAAAATAAAGCGCCGTGACCTTGAATTTGAAAGATAAGACCCGCTGAGGGGAATTATCTGCCACGTAAACTGTCTCTAGCAATCGAGTACCAATTTAATGTTGCTAATTGTTAATAAAAGTCACTCACCTCACTGATTGTAATGTAAAAATGTTAAATTGTTTATAAACTCACTGTTTACAAAGTCTGAGAACAGGATTTGAGATAATAAGCACATAACAAACTAGCAAAGACGGAACGATACGAATATAGAACCTCAGTTTCGGCCATGACACTTACGACTTCCCTTCCATAATAAACTTCAGAACCATCCTAACCCTCTAGTTTCTAACTTTACTCCTTCCTCGATCCATGATAGTCCCTTAGACATCTGGAGATGGCCTCGTGATCTCCTAATTTAGATACTTTATTAGAGTGCTATCAATCGGTAGATTCTCTACAAGTCTTATCATGCCATGTATTTCTTTGTATCACATTTACTGAATGTATATTTATTTGTATATGATTGTATATTTCATGAATAATAAATAAATAAAAACTATGATAGAGGATACTGGAAGGTACTGGTACTGGAGGGGGATAGTCCTTTTTGCCAAATCCTGACGACTAAGGCCGTTCTCTCTCTGTTTCACTCACCACAAGGCACCTGACCGTTTATACCTTAAAATAAAGTTGTGGGCGGGATAGCCGAATGGGCTAACGCGTGTGCACTGCACCGCCGTTGCCCGGTAACCTGATACATAACACTTTGATAAAAAAAAAATAGTCACGAGTTCGCGTCCCGGTGTCCGGAGTTTTTAAATCCCCGCCCACACTCCCTGGCCCGGGAAAACCCCCGTATAGCCTTAGAGGCGAGGAAGGGGAGGACAAAAAAAAATTAAAATAAAGTGTGACTGAAATAGTATGCTTGCAGCAGACTATTTATTATTATATTATAACTTTAATTTTATACATCCAGACAAGCATACTATTTTTTTTTTTTTACTTGATCCGGTTCCAGTAATAATTAAGTCAATTTTAGTTTCTTTTCAGATTCCTGAGGATGTAATCGGACATGTTAATTATGAAAATGACTTAAACGAGTGTTAGTATGTCCGTGTACGTTATCAGTGAGTTTTTGTAGTGTGTCGGTGTGCCATCTTGTTGTTGGTCATTATATAATATAATTTATTTTTATGTCCCAGTAAAGAATATTTCAGTTATTTCAGATATACGTGAGGAATTTGGGCATTGCTGAGGTAAATAGAAGAAAAAAATAGAAAATATTTTTTATAGAAAAAAAGATAAACTGATTATTGAAAAAATGTTCTTATACTTGTCTAGTTAATTGTTAATATAGTTTTGTTTTCAATTTAACTTATAGAGACTCTGCGGAAGTATCCACCATTTAGCCTCATCTCCAGATGTTGCACCACTGACTGTTTTTTGGAATCAGGACTGTTTTTGGAGAAGGGAACGTTAGTCTTCATACCCGCCTACAGCCTCCACCACGATCCAAACATCTATCCGGAACCTGAGTCCTTCCAACCTGGACGGGAGTACCCCAGAGGAGCCTATCTTCCCTTTGGATCCGGCCCGCGGACATGCATAGGTAATCTGTACCATTCATGTAATACACGGATAGGGACGTATAACGTTATCAAAATGTTATTTTTAGCTTCTTCCCCATACCAATAATATGGCGTGAATTACTCTTGTTGGTAGTTGATACCTCCCATAGAAACTTCTTAATTATTTTTTTCTTCATAACCATGTAATTAATTGAAACAGGGTGTAGATCCGACATTTGAAAGCCAAAGAAGCTTATGAAAACCAGAGAACATAGTAAAAAACAATACTGTAGAGGAGTGCCATTAAAGAGCTCAAAGAAATAGCTGTGTGGGTGTGTGTGTGTGTTTAATTTGTATTTACTTCTAAATAAAAATGGTAACAGTAAAATCTAAAAAAATATATTTCGGCATCCATTATCGATTTCTAACCTTACCGCTCCATCTAATGAAAAACAAATACCTATGAACTAGACGTTCTCTGCTGAATAAATGTAGGAAGACAGAACAGTTAAAAAAAGAAATATCATATTCAATCCTTTTTTTCGGCATTGAAATCTTAAACAAAATCCTTTTTTGCCAGATTCAATTCTTAATTAAGAATTTAAAGATACACTTTATGTCATACATAGTTGCCATGTAAGTAATATTTAATAGTATTTTAAGTATTTTACATCAAGTATATCTTAGAGGTACTAGATATTAGCTATAAATGTAACAATTCATAGCTTAAAAAAAATACGAGAATTTACAAATTAATACATAAAGTGAACTATGAAGAAAATCAGTACACATAGATACTTAATTTTGAGGTAACATAACGAAACAGTACGACTTTTAGACTCCTATAATATTTCAATGTTACAAAATGTTATCGATTGATGTTATCAATATGTAATGTTCCCAATCATAGAATATTCTCATTTTTTTTATTTTTTTTATTTGATGACTAACCTCTTGTTCTTCATTCCCTTTGTCTTCTGTGTACACCCACTTGGTCCATCCACATCAGTAGGCAATGAGCTCAGAAGATGTCTCCCTCAGTTCTTCCTCTAATATCGCATTCCTTAATGATGGGTATGACCCATTTTTTCTAACCTTTAAGTTTTCTCAAAAGAAGAATGAACGTTTGATTTATAAATTACAGATATTGCTATTTATAACAACATAAAATAATAGTCACTCCTAACCAACCTTCTTAATGCATGTACTATGACCTTATTATTTATTTCAGTAATATGAATCATAATGAATTACATAAAAAAGATAATCAATGTAATCCTTAATGTATTCTATGCTCAATTATATAATTAATAATAAAAGAGGATATTAATTTGTTCTTTAAACCAGTTTTGCCCCTTCATTTATTAGATCGGCCGACCCGCGCATTTGTTCAGTAATGCAGTAATGTATCACCATTTAATGAAGGGGTTGATCATACTACCCCCAATATTGTTGGACTTCACATTTTTTTAAATATGTATATATTAATCCTTTTGTTTTAAAGTAAAATCCATCAAATTTTTCATATCTTACATTAAATAAATATAATCATGAAATTTACAATTTATAGGCCTAATCTTAAAGTAAACTATCTTTAATTTCTTGAAAATATATATATCAAAGTGATGCTTTATTTTTGTGAGGAAGATTATATTGAAAAAAATAAATACAAAAATAGTCCGTGGTATATACGCATTTTTACCAAATTACTAACATCCGTCTTAAACATCGGCTCATGTTATCGTAACTTGAGTTGCCCAAATGCGAGAATAAGACAAGTGTTGTTTTTTTTTAATTATTTTTTTTTTACCGAATTTCTCGAAAATAGACAGTTTTCAATCTGGAGATCGGTAAAATTTGTATACTTAATATCGTGCTAGAAAAACTCACGAGCATCTTATTGCTATCCATTAGAAATATAAAATAATTCAATTACAAAATCGAAGAAAAAAGGTGACCCACAAAATTATTTGGCTTTTTTGCCAGGATTTCCATCTCAACTTATGCAATTCACATTGCATATTTATGTAAACATAATATTGCAATTAACATTTTTATGTTGATTTTATGACCAAATTATCTTACGATTTTAGTGGAAAGCTAATGGATATTTATGAATTTTCGCACATCATTAAATTACTTAATATAGTGAGAAAACGTCCTATTTCTGAGAATTTTCATTGATAAAAATGTTGGTTACGATAGGACGAAGGAAGCGATTAACAAAGTTATTTTTTTTTACTGGATTATTTGTTTATTGATAAATATTAAAATCTGTCTCAATAAAGGACATTTATAATAGAGTTATGAGAGCACGTTCACACCATATTTACAAATTAAAAAATAAATGAATAAATAAGGCAATTTCAAAATAATATAAAGGTAAATAAGAACAAAATAAAATATCATAGTGAAGGAAGAAAATATAAATAATAGTAATAATATAATACAAATAAATGAATAAAATTAAATTAAAATTATCTAAAAAAAAAATAATGAAAATAAACGTCTTAGAAGCAGGCATACCTAGACAAAGTTTTAGAGTATTGTTAATAATTTGATAAAAAGGGGTTTAGAACGCGGACTACTATGTATCAACGTTACAGAGGCAGTGGCTATTCTACTTATATTATTTTATTAATATTTTTAAATTATTTAAATTTTTATTTTTTGTATACAGGCAAGATATTTGAAGGTTACGATGAGATGAAGGCATTCATGAAGTTTCACCCGGATCTTAATAATTTGATAAAAAGGGATGGAACCGCAGACTATTATTCCGTATGGGGACAAAAACAATTTTTTTTTTGGTGGATTGGTTTTTCATCACACATTTCAAGTCATTGCATGTCCACCACATTACATGATAAAATTGTCAAATTAATCAATTTTTTAAAAATTCTCAATTGTATAATTACAGCAGCTAGCGCGTCATTACTGATGTCCTTATTGGTTAATTGAAAACCGGTTCAATGTTAATTATCCGTAGCGTTGAAACGACCGCATGTTTGCGCTGCTCTTGTTTAAACATTGGATAGGGACAATTAATTTGCAATCAAGCGGGAATTAATTGAGTGTAAATTGAGATCAGGTCCAGGAAACGGTTTTCTCAGAATGCAATGGATTAAGCAGAGCAATGTAGGGGTGGAACTGTGTAGAGTTTTGTATTTTTGAACATTAGTCACGGAATTGAAATTCAGAAACAATGACTCAAGTAAAAAAAAATGCAATACATCTATAAGATATGAGTCGTTCATTTGCAAATTTAAATCCTGACCAAAAATCCACCAGAATACCCATCATCTTACTTCGCACGTCCCATTCCACTATCTAGCAATGCCATCGTGTAGTAAACGTTGTCTCGTCTGCATTGGATCGCGGAATGTATTCCACTGGAGTCTTTCTAGACGTTGAACGTGCGTTTGATCGAGTCTGGCACCCGGGATTGCTTTCCAAACACCGTAAATTTCTCCCCTCTACATACTTTCTCATCATCAGTTCCTACCTTACTTATCGGTGCTTCAAAGTATATCACAATAATGCCTGTTCATCCCTCTTTTCTAAACCTGCTTGTGTTCCTGAAGGTATCATCCTTGGTCGTATTCTTTACACAGTTTATACAGCTTATATTCCAATCCAACCTAACACTGTCATCACCACGCATGTTGATGACGTATGTATTCTTTCAGTTAATAACATCCCAAACTCTTCAATCACACATTACAAACTTTGAAGAATGGTGTCAAAACTGGAGGATTAAAATAAATTCCAATAAATCCATTCAAATAGTCTTTACTCTTCGTTGTAAACCTATGACTTCCTGTCCTACAGTATCCTTTAATAACACCCCACTTATCCCTGTTGAACAAATACGCTACCTAGGACTCCACCTGGACAAACGTCTAACTTGGAATCCTCATACGAGACTGAAACGACAAGAAACTGCTCGACGTTTTCGACTACTTCAGCACTTACTAGACAAACGGTCTAAACTTCCAATTAATAACAAAAGACTCACATACATGACTATAATAAGACCTATTTGTACTTATGGAGTTGAAGTGTGGGGCTTCACTAAACCATCAAATTCCTTCAATCAAAAATCTTTAATGCTCCTTTGTCACAAATAAAATAATCCATAAAGACCTTAATGTTCCATATGTTTCCGATTTGGCCCAATCCAGATACATATTCTTCTATAGTAAACTTCATAACCATTCGAATCCTCTTGTTTATAACCTTGCTTCCTCTTCAATTCCTGATAATTCTCCGAGGCGTCTGAAAAGATGATGGCCACCTGATCTCCTTTTGTAGACATATTGTTAGAGTGCAGTTTTTAAATAAGCGTTTTCATGTGATCATCTTTACACACATTTACTTGATGCATTTATATTAATACTGTTGTAAATATCATAAATATATATTTTTTTTAATTCTTACCATCATTAACAAATTTTCAGAAAACGCGAAAAAACTATATTTTCTATTCCAACTTTAATACCAAAATGAATAATTTAAAAAAAAAAGCATTACTTCTAGCAAATATTATAGCAAATCGCTGATTATTTTAATAGTAATATAAATAAATTGAAACTCGAATCCCCCAAAATTAAGTCCTGAATCCGCTGCTGTCTTCCACAACTATACCGTAAAATGGGGTAACTTTGTGACTGGTTGGGTAACTTTGGTACAGCGGATAGAATTTAGTTTGTGGTGATTCCGTGGTGGATACACTGTTGGTTCAGTGAACATGGATAGCGCATTTACTGCGCTACTTACTACCTTTGAGGCACAAGCGAAGTTTTCATGGAAACAAGAATTTTTAAAATGCAATGGGAATAAATAAAACCAAAATGCACAAAGAGTATAGTGAACTAGGGTTCTCAAAGTGCGGTAAGGTAGTAGCGCAGTACAAACCACGTTTTTTTTCAGACAGAACCAACAAAGTGTATCCACCATGGAATCACCACAAATTAAATTTTACCTTCTGTGCCAAAGTTACCTACCCAGTCCCAAAGTTTACGGTATTTCAACAATAAAAATTCTCCTTAATAAGAGGAGTTTTATTTAATATATAATCGGCTTTCTTCACCGTATTAAATATTCGTATTATGAAATATTGCTGCGGTCAAAAAATAGAAGCTTGCAGAAATATATAATATAATAGTCGAATATACTTTTTTAATTATTTGTTAGTACTTTTTATGGTAACAATCCTAAATACAAAAAATGAACTTTTTGTTTAAAATAATGGTACCATAAGTTTATTTATATTTACCTATCATTGGAACAAAACAGTTAAAATCTCTTTTGCTGATTTTTTTAAGAATAGTTAAGAAATGCAAGTTTTCTTATATTTCTTGAAAAAAAAAAATCTGATTCCAGAAATCAAATAAAAAAAAAAAAAATAAGTGCACCATCGGATCATCAAGTGAATCCATACTTATTTCGATTTTTAAAAAATGAATCATTAGGATTCACTTTGGAAATGGGCGAATCATATATTCAATATATATATCAAAGAAAAATAAAACCTGTAAATTTTATCTCAAACCAGAAGAAGTGAGTTAAAGCTTCGTGGGGAAATTCCGGTGCCATAAGATCTTTCAAAGGGGCTGTGGCGGAAATTGGTAAAGAAAAAAAAAATGGCTCTCTGAAAAGACCGATCGGGTTTTCACACCTTCTTCTGAAAGTGTTTCAACGATTTTCTTTTAAGTTTGTATAAATAATGCACACTGAAAATGTCGGGGAAACAGAGGTATTTCTCATTTTCATCTTTTGGGCAACTTTTTAAAGAACAACTGACGTATTTTAAAAATGGGGGGTTGAGCTACCTGTGTAGTTTTATTATAACTTTGTTTTTTCACTCGCACCTGTCAGAAATGTTGAATCTAATATTTTCTTTTTCTTTAAATTTAAATATATTATTTTATTTTACTATTGTCTTTGGGTTCACTTTCCTTATAGGAATCCTGTTTAATACTAGAAATTATTTGATATTAATACTTTTGTTGAAGCGCCCAGTTAGGTCAAGATTTATATATATTAATTATTATTTCGTACAGTAGTAGTTTTATTTTTATTTCAGTAGTATTATTAAATAGAAGAATGGATTTAGTTCTTCTTAGCATTTAATACAACAATCGAATCGAGTAGTCAATTCATAACAGAGAGAACAGTTGTAATAAGTTACTGATTTTTTTTTAAAATATGTGTGATCACTAGAGACCGGATCTTCATGTTATTGCACTTTTTATTCGCTTGCGTGTAAAAAATTCCGGACGCGAATATCTAATCGTTTCAGGATCTGTAGAATAACATATTTAAATTTTATAATGCACGAAATCGCACGATTTTGATTTTGGTTACATTAAATTGCACATTTTTGTACTTTTGTGCCAAATTAGGTGATTTATAAATACAAATGTATAAGTGAGTGTGTTAATATATATTTATTTTACTATTTTCCTACTATTACTTTTTATTGTACTACATCATTCAAATTAAATTCATTATTCAAAGTAGAAAAATACGAGGATGGCAAATAATTCTGTGTGAAATCAAAATCGTATTAATTACAAAGGAAGAAGTAAATACAAGCAAGATCTTCTCGAAATATAACTTGCCTAAAGTATTGGATAGTAAAAAACTGCTTTTGTAGAATTAACTGCTTTGTTAGTAAGGCATTTATAGTTATTGTTTTGGCTTGAATCCTCACTCACCGTTCAACCCTTCAGTATCTCTTCGGGCTTTAAATTGATTTGAAGAAATTTCATCATAAAAAAAAATTGATAATGTTGAAAGTAAAATCTAGTCTCTCGTCAAAAATTAAAATCTGGATATAAAATTACCATGATTTAAAATGTGAGGAGAACGAATTTGATGAGAAAGTTCCATACACCTTATGAAAAATCAACCAGAGGATTGGAAATCACTGATAGACGCTCATTTTGGAACATGTATGAAAAAAAATATTCCTATCAAAGAATTAATTTTTTTTTCTTGAGGAGTTTGAGAACGTAATTCCCGAAAATATTTTTTTGGTGTTATAGAAAAGTAAGCTTCATCACTAATATTTGAACACTTGATAATCTCAAACATTACAGTATATATTTTTTTTCAATTCATTAAATTTAAACAAAAACGTTTTGGAATGTATGATATTGGAAATTTCAATCATATTAAAAAAATTAATTTTCATTATTATTTCTAATAAAAGTTAAATATCTAAAATTGGTCTGGTCCATATAATATATAGGTACCTATGATTCCTGCCTTCATTTATTCCTTCAAACCTTCAATGTTCTGCATTATTTGGTGATAGTCGCTATTATAAAAGTTGATTATAATCTGGAATTTCATTTTCAATATAAAATTTCAATTTTTTTTTCTAAAAAACTCTCGATTAACCGAAGATCTGATAAGATTTCGATGTGTTAATGTTATAAATTAAATAATATTGATGTTTTAACACGTTTTAAGTGTTAATTACACAATTTTACGTATTTTAGATTTTTACTGCACGATTTTGCACATTTTGAATTGTTTACTGGACGTTTGCCGAATTTTAACTGCACTAAAATCCGGTCTCTAGTGATAACTATTGCTTATTAAATGCATAATAAATATATGTGATGATTTTACAGGTAAGAGAATGGCGGAAACTGTCCTAGAACTAACGATTAACAAACTTCTACAGAGGTACAGGTTCTTACCGAGTGCGAAATCATCGACACCTCTGACACTGTCGCCAAGATCTTTCTTCACTTCAGCAGAAGGAGGGATATGGTTGAAAGTTGAAAGGATATCGAGTGTAACCACAACTTAAATAATTAATTTATGTGATAAATCAAGTGTTCATAAGTTGATTTATTTATAAGGCTAGTTAATGTTTGATATAATTTCCTTACTAAATTGAGGAACAGTAATAATTTCATGTACCACTATATAAATTTTAGATTAGGTGACATTTATAAAAAATATATTAGCAATATGAACATAAATTAATAAATAAAATTACATAGCGACAAATTATTTTTGATTAAATTAAGCTATAATAAGAAAAGTGTACATGTTAATAGTGTTGTCCAAATGCTTGACCTAGATCAGTCTTGGTCTTGCGCATTCAGTCTTAATTTTGGTCTTGGTCTTGCTCAAGAGTCGCAACAGTCTTGCAGTTACTTTCTAGCTTATACTATAGAGATATTACTGTAATTTTTTAGATAGGAGAAATCTATCTAATAGCGAAAGAAAAATTAGAAGAGTTAAATGCAAAAGTATATTGCTTACAGCAATTCTTTACATATAGTAACTAAAATTGTCAAGTATTAGTAACTATTTTGCCTTAATTTTTATTTAAATGTTCGATTTTTTTTTACCAATACTGTTCTTGGTCTTGCAACAGTTAGCCGGTCTTCGGTTTTAGGCAACACTACTTTGTAGGTCTTTATAAATATTTTAATATTTAAAATAGTTAAACATTTTAATTGTATTAGGTTTGTATATATTTTAAATCAGATTATAAATAAATCTGTTTAAATTATAAAGACTATTTAAGCCTTTTTCCTAGTTTTCTACGGTATGTATCAATTTTACACTGAGCCACTGTGTATATATATATAAAGGCATAGGACTGATGAGCCTAAATCGGGAATCGGGATATGGTTTACCAGGATGTTAGTAGAGCCTCTGAGGTTCGGTCCATGGACGGCCTGTTTCGGGGAAAGAAATATACGTCCTCGTGCGCCTGATGACTCTGAGCAGCCATAATCCATGGATCTAGACCGGTTTGCCACTGTTGTTGAAACCGAGTGAGTCGGTGGGAAAGACACTGCCTGAGTGGCCCCAAAGGTATCGGCTATGAAGCAACGGGTGGACTGCCGCTGCACTAAGGATACCATGGTTTGTAGTAATGTGAGGTTGGGTGATACCCCTCCAGGTATATGTGCTCCCGCAAGCAATATACGTCTGTAAGGAGATCAAATCTCACGGCAAATGATCTTCATGGTCTGAAGTGATAACGGAAAAATATATATCTATCTATATATATATATATATATATATATATATATAACTTTAATGTGAAACGTCCTGAACATTGATTCTGATGAGTTATTGAAAACTATGTTATTAGGGTAAGAACTTCCAAAGTAAGACACAAAATAAAAAAATATATAATTTATTATTAAAGTAAAATTTATTCATAATCTTAACTCTTTAACAACATATTGGTTGAGAGTTTTGCGACGAGAAAGTTCTATATTTTGTTGAAGGTGTAGTAACCTCGGTAACGAGTTTATTCATTTGACAACTTTGGAAGTAATAAGGGATCCCCCTATTCAATTTTAAAGTCGTCCAGACCTCCAACTACGTTTAAACAACTTCAAGAGTTCCTCAACTTTTATACCTCAACACTAATTGTCGATTAATTATATTTTAGTCATAACTTAAATTTAGATCATTTTATACTGTCAATTAATTTGTTATATATTGCAAATAAAATTATTATAGATGTTAACAAAACAATCTCTGAGTAATTTATCATTAATTACACAGCGTTTATCGATTGCCTAGTAACCTTGTTAGATGTACATGTGTTGCGATGTGTGTATGAAGTATACTATTACATTGGAAAATGTAATAAAGGACTTAAAAAAAAAAACACATACCAAAGAGTTAACAGTAAGACAAGTGATAAAAATATTTTTAAAATAATATAATTTAAACATTGAAATACAATAAAAATAAATAAGTAGAGAATTAGGTGAATAAAAAGTTAGAATTAAAATGGAATTTTTATTTCCAAAGATGCGAAATGATCAGGATGTGTAATTAATAATAATGTTCATTGAGTTAGCCTAGGTTTCGAGGCAAATATGTAGGCCATCATCATGGCTAAAAATACATAAAATTTTAACATAGAGATATTTTTACTTTCAAAAATATCCTGAACATTTTTGATTTTTACAATTTAATTTCAACAGTCAACTATACATCCATCTCGAAATTTCTATTTAATCTTTGAGATAGTTATTTATCTAAAGTTTTTTTTTATAATAACTTAACTCTATTGTATTACTATATTGTATTTGTTCAATAAAATCGTTAGAGGATGAGAAAAAATAACTACTTTACTCCGAAGAGTTTTAACCTGCAAAGGGAAAAGAACTGCCAGAAGCGAAAACTGATACATTTGTACACGGAAACGCCAGTTCATGTCCCGCCAACGATACCACGATTGTCACTGTGAACAAAGGGAACTGTTGAAACCGATATGCTCTTTGTAACAACTACGATCTCTGCAAAGTTTCTGAGGGAAATAGATTCACTATATACGTAAAGGGTTAGGTAAACCAAAAGTAAGTGAACTGTATCAATCAAACAATAAAATCTTCGGAGAACAATAAAGAGATAAATATTTCAGTATAAACCGATATTCTTATTGTGATTCCAAGATTTGGAACAACAGCTCCTAACTAATCACCAATGTGTATCACACTTAGATCGACTTGAAAGTAACATAAGCTATTGCCTTAAGAAAGCGAAGTTCACTATTCCTGTTTATTTAGTATGAATAAACTCTACTGTCCTTAGTAGGTTTGATTAAATTTTAAATGTAGTCACAGAGTATGTATTGTATTGCAATTGTAGTATTATATTCGAGCAAAATTTTGTGTGCAGAGATTTTTGAAGTAAAAACTTCTTTAGCCGGCTAATTGCTTGAGTGATTTAGGTTTAGCCGTCAGATCTTCGATGTGTAACGCTTCGATAAAGTCGACCAATTGAAGTCTTTTTTGCGTATGGATTAAAATACCTTAAAAACTAAAAATCGGACCTGCATTTTGTCAGCAAGATCAATGTTCATAATTTCGTTCTCTTTGTAATGAGCTATTATTCAAAACTGTATCATTAAGCGACCTCGTGTTAAAGACGAGAAACAAGGGAAAAATAGTGAGTATAATCAAATGATAACGAGTTTTATTGAAGATGTGGATTAAAATATCTCAAAAACTAAAAATCGGACATTCATACTGTAAACTAGGATATTGTTCAACATTTCATCATCTTTATAATGAGCTATTATTTATAATTTTAACCTTAGTTTTTATACAGAACTTAGCGTTTCGGAATCCTTGATAAAATATTAAGAGAATTAGACCATTAATTTTATTATCAATTAATAGAATTGAACAATCAGCAATTATAAAATAATCTAATGAATTAATCTATTTTTGTCAATATAAATTTTAGGAAAAGGAACTAATATAAAATTACAATTATTCATATTGCCTAAAACTTTCGGTAACAAGAATATAAGCCCTTAAAGAAAATTAATGAATAGGAATTTCACAAATTGAAATTAATGAAGAAGGGAATTTAATTTTTTTTTTTTTTTTTACTATCTTAAGTTACAAAATGATTAATGATATGAAAATTTACGTGACAGTAAATAGAAGTAGGTAAAGTATATTTTATTGATAGAAGGTAAAGTGATGTATTTGTTGATAAAGAGATCTCCTAGAGCCAGAGACCCGATAAAGTTTGATGGATGGCTGCACCGGACGAAATACTATGCATATTTTACCTCTGCTTCCACTACCATCCACTCGGGTACAAATATATTTACCTTAAATCACAATTAACTGCTATAAGTTTTTGTTGCATAAGATAACTGTTAGGTAAAGGTGTGTGCTATTAATTATAATATTTCAGTATTATATTCCACCAATAGAAGTTTTTTTTTCTATTTAATTATGTTTCCGCACCTGTCATGGTATTGACAATCAGCAGATGTGTTGTGATTATAAGGATTGACATAATAGGCATGAGGAAGAATAGTACACAGCAGCACCTCTTCCTGGTCATTATTTACTCCCTTGATTAAGGTGAGGTGATCTCTTATCCAGCTCCTTTTTAGTCTCCTCCTGATGGGCATGTCATCTTGGCCATGTCTTTTCTAAGTAGTTTGAGATGAAACCGAGAGTAGAGAGTACGTATGTGTTGGTCTATAGTGAGTTGTCGTAAGTCGTTATGTAAAGTTTTATTGTTGACGTACTAGGGAGCTCCTGTAAAAAGTCGTAAAATTTTGGATTGAAATTACTGTAGTTTTTTTAAGTGTGTCTCTTTTGCCGAACCGTTAATCTGAGAGTTATATGTCCATATGGGTTTTAATAGGTAAGTATATGTATTTAGTTTTGTCAAACTTTTTTATTCGATTTAGAAAAAAGTGAGTTCAGTATTTTCAGCCGCTTGTTTAAAATCTGTCGTTTCATTTAGACGTGTGGGTCCAAGTCATTCTTTAGTCGAATATTAGTCCAAGGTGATGTACTGTGTTTGTCTGAGGAATTTGGTTCTCTCCTATATAAACTGGTGGGTACATTTCTCGTCGAAGTGTAAATGATATATGCTGTGACTTGTCATGATTTAATCTTATTTTTCAAACTCAATGTCTCGGAGTTGATAGGTATGTCATACGTATATTTAATGTAGAGTAACTGGCCACTATTGATCCTTGAGGTATTCCTGCTAACAGTGCTCGATTTGAGTAAATTTCTAGGCCATGCCAGACAGAGAAAACTCTGTCGAAAAGAAAAGATTGGAGAATGAGGTTGTAGTCTTCCTCTTTTTTTTTTTTTTTTTCTTTTTGCTGCGAAGTTAGAAGAGAGGTAGTAGTGTTTTGAGGATAAGTCCCTGGTGCAGACTTTATCGAATGGCTGGGCAACATCCAGAAACACGCCGGTTGCGTATTGTTCTGCTGTAGCAACGTAATCAGTAACTCTGTGTAATTGTTGTGTTGTTGAATGGAACGTACGAAATCCGAACTGATGA